TGGTTTTTCTCTCTGGAAAGTAACTTTCCAGCAATGTCAGGTGTGGAAAATAAGAGTAAATTACAGTGCCTGATGCCAGTTAACTAACAGAGTGGTTGGTTTTTTTTTATGCTTTTGCTATGTTTTCTTTGCAAAAATTTTACAGGAATTTTTTGTTTCCCCTGCCTGCCCCTCCCTTTTTTTTTCCTTAAGTGATACAGTGATAAGTCAGTACATGTAAGTCAGACTTCCTAAAACGTGTACTTAAAATCTCTTTTTTAGCTTTTGTTTCTATATGATATAGAAATGTAGTTCTTGTTGTAGACTTAACTTTTTCATTTTAAGAGGTGACTATATTCTGCGGTATGCTTATTGTGGAAAAAAGTATTTTTATTCAGTTCCGAGATGTATCTTGCCTGATGCCCAGGCCTTATTAATACTGTATTACCACAGCTTGCTTCTGTCCTTTTGCAGAAGTAAAGCTACAACAGTTAGTGATATGAATGGATTGAAGTCTCTTTCTGGCAACAAGGTATTTATATGTTAAGATTTATTTTCTTCCTGGTAACTTATACTCTGCTATATTTTTCAGTGCTTAATGTTCATGAGAGAATCTTGAGTTTCTAATTTTCCTAACATGTAATATCTTAAAGCAGGGAGGTGATTGTTCCCCTTTACTCGGCGCTGGTGAGGCCGCACCTGGAATACTGTGTCCAGTTTTGGGCCCCTCAGTACAAGAAAGACATTGAGGTGCTGGAGCATGTCCAGAGAAGGGCAACGAAGCTGGTGAAGGGTCTGGAGCACAGGCCTTATGAGGAGCGGCTGAGGGAACTGGGGTTGTTTAGCTTAGAGAAGAGGAGGCTGAGAGGAGACCTTATCGCTCTCTACAACTACCTGAAAGGAGGTTGTAGTGAGATGGGTGTTGGTCTCTTCTCCCAAGTAGCTAGCGATAGGACAAGAGGAAATGGGCTCAAGCTGCACCAGGGGAGGTTTAGGTTGGATATTAGGAAAAATTTCTTTACGGAAAGGGTAGTCAAGCATTGGAAGAGGCTGCCCAGAGGGGTGGTGGAGCCACCATCCCTGGAAGTATTCAAAAAACGGGTAGATGTGGCATTTCGGGACATAGTTTAGTCTAGTCTACCCTTGATTGGTTTAGGTGGGCTTGGTAGTGTAGGTTAATGGTTGGACTGGATGATCTTAAAGGTCTTTTCCAACCTAAACGATTCTATGATTCTATGATTTTAAAGACTGCTTATTTCTTTGGAAAGTAATGTTTGCTTTTGAGGTACCACATGGTGGGTAGTGTCCTTTTTAATGCTGCTTAGTTCTTAATTTTGTTCTGGTATGGTTGAAAGAACATAATTGATTTTTTTTTTTTCAAAGCTCTTTATGCTTTATGTATTTTCAGCTTCTTTATATTTCAGTTTAAAGCATGAGCACTGTGATGAAAAATGGAAAACTGTACATCTTTATGTAGTTGACCATTTAGCACTTTGTTTTGTTTCACACAGCACCTTAAGAGCAATGGGAATCCTACCTTGTTGGACTTACCTAAAAAAGTTCTTAAATCACTCAATCCATCAGTTTACAGAAATGTTGAATATGATGTTTGGCTCCAATCCAAATGGGGTAAGTAACAGAATACTTCCAAGTTCCAACTTTTGCAAGCTGATGCATAAAGTGAAGCCCTCTTGAAGAACAGTGATGCATATGTCAGTTTGGGTTTAGGCAATGGTCTTCCTCACATGGGTCAGTGTGCAGATTTAGGGCCTGAACTTCAGGTTTGCATTTTTACTGCATCAAGAAAGTAACTCTTTTGGTGTATTTAAACTAACAGTATATTATTGCTAATTTATTTACAGATCAGCAAAAACAAGATTTCTCTATTGCTGCTGGCATGCAATACTCGGTTGGAGATAAATGTAAAGTAAGTAGTATTGAGTTATAGTTTATAGAGACATTAATGTTTTGCTCAAGATGCCAATTTTCCCTCTTTATTAAGTATTCTGATTATATAATTGCTACTTTCTAAATATTCTTTGCTTGTGTCTTCCAACTGTGCATATGCTCATTTAATTGTTGGTGTTCATGACTTACAGCATACATGTAGAAAAGTCATGTAATAGGACATCTCATCAGTGCTTTTTTACCGCATTATAAAGTCACAAGTTAACTTCAAGAGTGTATTTAATAAGATTGACTGTGGACCTTAATGTTAAGTATGCACATAACTTCGTGCAGGTATGCCTCCATGGTGAGTCCTTGCTCAGTGTTGTAGAGTGCTAGCCTCTGTGTGAGAAGCAGGTGTGTTTAGGGCAGTTACTGGGTTCAGGCCAAGCTCTGTTCTCTCGGTGGGCTCTGTAAGCTCGCTAGTTATCCCTTGATGTGCAAAGTGTGGGGTAGGTCTGTTTTACAAAACTCATTGTTATCTCCAGTGCATCTTTTGCTGATGGCTGCACTTGCTTTATCATACTGCTACAGTTGTATGATGAAGAACAAAGTTTTAGTGTTTTCTGTCATATAGGCTCTTCTTTGGAGAGACCAAAACCAGTATCATAGTTCCATGTATTTATGTTCAACTCCGGAGATAACGATTACTGTTTGTAAATAGGCTTTGCTCTAATCCCATTACTTTCAAGTAATGGAATACAGCTCACTTTAGTTACTGCAGATCCTAAAGATCCTGAAGTTTTAGGTGATTTTTCTTCTTGAAGTATTCAAAGTGTGTAAAACAGTTGCTTTTTAAATTTTATTAAAATCTGTAGTATGTATTGCTGCTTAAGAAGAAATAAGATTTGCCATTGAATTCTGTAGTACTCAAATTTTATATTGATCTCCTTAGGTGTGTTAACTAAACTGGTGGTACTTGGCTAAATATGGTTCTTTCTAGGACATTTGACCAGCTATTAAAATTACTAATATTAATCTGAAAATATTCAATTAGGCTTATCATGCAGCATGGGGGCTCTTTCAGTTTTTACTTTTTAAAATTTGTGTAATGGAATTAAGCATAGTGAATAAATTGCAGGAAAAACACATCTCTCAACTTGGGAGGAAAAAAACCCACCCCACAAAAAACCCAAACAC